AAATGTTTTGACACCTAAAACCCCCTAAACACTCAAAACTAAACCCTAATAGAACATAATTAACCCAAACATAAATAATATAAAGAAAAAATAATTTTGAAAAAGTGGCATTTTGTAAAGATTTTAAAAGTGTGGCATTTTTGTAAAGTGGCACTTGAAAAGTAACATTTTTTGAAATTTCTCCATAATAAATGGTGTGCCATGTCATATTTTATTTTTAAGATTGATTGTCAAGTTGACATGTAATCACATTCTTAAAACTCACTTCTCAAATAATATACAAGGGATTTAAAAAATACCATTTTTCAGGTGTCACTTTACAAAAATGCCACACTTTTGAAATCTTTACAAAAATGCCACTTTTTCAAAATTATTTTTTCTTTATACCATTTATGTTTGGGTTAATTATGTTCTATTAGGGTTTAGTTATGAGGGTTTAGGGGGTTTTAGGAGTCAAAACATTTTTTAGGGTTTAGAATTTGAAGATATAGGTTTTATAAATCTATAATTAGTGGCATTTTTGCAAATGGGCATCCCTAAGTGGCATTCTTGCAAATGTGCATACAAAAAGTGGTATTTTTGTAACTGTCCAAATAATATACAAGGATGGTTCATGTCATTAAGAATTTTTAATAGCTTTCCTTAAAAGTTTCTTAAAATCCTCTTTGTATGACACTTAAGATTTTTCATCTACTGTCTCCTCTATTAATATATAGAGGATATCAACAGGATAAATAATGGTAATAAATATTTCTAAAATCAGATCGACGGTCGAACTGGGTACCAATCCGGGTTGGATTAACTCTAAAATTCAAATTGAGTTAATCCGATTATTGAACCGGATTGAACCGACAAAAATCCAGAAACCGGCGATTCAATCGAACCGCTTCAAACCGGATTTAAACGAAATTTTATTATTTTGTTAATTAAATTAATTTTTAACTAAAAAGGTTAAAATATGATTTATAAACAAGTAGTGACGTTTAGGTTCTTCTAGTTACATTTAATTTCTAATTTTCTTCAGGTTTTTGGTTTTGAAGTTCAATAGTCAACACTATAAGATCCTATAAAGTACGTATTAGAAAAATAGATTTGTTATCTTAATTCTTTTGACTAAATCACCAAAAATAATGGTATCAATTGGTTCATAATATTTATGTGTATTCTTTATTTAGATTTTCTAAACATTTAAAATTATTCAAATGTTTTGTTTGATATTAGAATAGTATAAGATTAAGAATACTAGTAATTTGAAAATATCATCAAAACCCGGTCGAACCAAATTGATCAACAATCCAAATACTTTTTCGGTGTGGTTGGCGGTCCGGTTTTAAAAGCATTGGTGACAGTTTTATTCAATGATTTTGGGTCGTAGTTTAAAAACAAAAAAAACAAAAAACGTTAGTAGGTAAATGCAACATGTATATTCGGAAAAAAAATGATGCAACATGTATATTAAATCATTTCAGAATTCTGGAACATTATGCTATTAATTTGGTAATGGATGAGTGAGAGAGTATTATTATTAAGTAAAGGTAATTGGCAATTACTGGTTGTTAATATTATACAGTACCGTTAACATAACTATCGTTCATGAAATAAAGGCTGATTGGAAAAACATAACATTCAAAACAAAAGTTCATAAAATAAAGGCACAAGTTCATAAAATAAAGGCAGTAGTCTAGAGTCTGATCATTCAACACTACATAACATAACATAACAAGGTTCATAAAATAAAGGCAGAAGTTTAGAGTCTGATTCAACACTACATAACATAACATAACAAGTTCATAATATAAAAGCAGAGGCATTCAAACACAAAAGGAATTCATGGCTTAGAGATACTTATGGAGGGTGATGAATACAAGTGTTGCAAATATGGAACCCAAGACAGAGCCAATAATGAGGTAGGGACTGATGTACCAGAGAAGCATGCTTGCGAACCCAAGAGCCGAAGAGAGAGCCAAGACATCCAAAAAAAATTCTAAAGGAAACCCGTCATCGGTTTGGGAGAGCATCCAGAATCTTGACTTTTTCGAAGGGAGAACGTACCACATGGAACCACGTGAAGGGAGAGAGAATAGGAAGAAGAGAGCCCATAGAATTGCAAACAGAGCTGCGAAACCGTCAATGATGAGGTCGTTGGATTTTTTATCCTCGTGTTGAACAAACGGGACGATGTTGGAAGTGCTAGTAGCCCGGAAAGCAAAGAACACAATTAGGCACTTGGCCAAAGCCCCACCCCAAAGACAAAGTGAAGGGCAACCACGATTTCTCCCCATCGCGCTCTCGGGTTGATCGGAAGAAGAAACGGTTGCTCGTGGAGGAAGACAAGTCCGGATGAGAGCAGCTTGCAAGCAGATTCGTAGGGAATAAAACTGTTGTACTTAGAAGTCGGAGCTTGGAACTTCGAAACAAGACTGATGCGTTCATCACGAGACATTTTGTGGCTCGAGGCCTCGAGGAGATCTCTCATTTGAGAGTATCGCAATCCAAGATTCAAAGGTTGCTTCAGCTCATGGTACCTCTCTTGGATGAAGTATTTTGGGTGTGATAGATGCACCAATCCAACAAATTCAGAGAAAGTCAATCTTCTATCACCGTTGCTACCGTAACGCCTCACAAGGTGTCTCACCTTGTCTGTGTTGACACTAATATCCCACCGGACGAAGCATTCAATCACGTCATGTGGAGTTAGCATCCCATCCTCGTCGGTGTCAACAGATTGAAAGACACTCGCAACTGACAGTGATGCATCATCCATCGTTCACTAAACCTGTAAAAATCAGAGCATAACAACACAATCTTGAATGATGAAAGCATATAATAATAGAATACCCAAAGAGAACTTCTAACCATATTTGTTGATGAGCACAAGACAAACACCGGTAATAGTAGCTGGTATGCAAGAATAATACGCCAGCTTTTCATTGATGTAGTAGAGGAGGGAAGCAAACAGTTGTGTAGAGAAGCCACATCCATCATCCTTTCCGTGCGGGCTGCAGAGAATGCGAGGCAGTGGAATTTGGTAACCACGCTGAGCTTGTTGAAGGCGATAAAGGAACCTCTGGCACGGAGAGAGAGGACGTAGCAAATAGGCCATACCAAAGGAGTTAAAGCGTTGAAACCTGGTCACGTAAATACTGGACTAGGAAACAAAAAAAACATTTATATGAAATCTCATGATTAGATTCAATCTTGTAATATCTGTAGATTACATACGTATATCAACTGGATAAGTAGTGAACATATTTTTCAATAATTTTGGGTGGTAGTTTAAAAAAAAACCGTTAGTAGGTGAATGCAACATGTATATTAAATAATTTCATAATTCTGGGACATTATGCTATTAGTTTGGTAATGGATGAGTGAGGGGTATAGAGAGTATTATTAAGTAAAGGTAACTGGCCAATACTGGTTCTTATTATTGTACAATACAGTAAAATTATCCTTACTTTCAAACTAAAAAGGTAATCAAACCATTAACATAACTATTGTTCATTCAAATAAGAGTTCATGAAATAAAGGCAGAACATAACTAGAGTCTGATTCAAAACAAAAGGAATTAGCAAAGGGTTGATGTAGCAAAGCAGCATACTCGTGAATCCAAAAGCTGAAGAGAGAGACAACACATCCATAAATTTTTCTAAAAAAACCCATCACATGATTTTGAGAGGATGTAGAACCTGGATTGCTTAGAGGGTAGGACATACCACATTGATCCTCGCGAAGAAACAACAATGTCAAGTGGGCTAATATTCTTATTTTGTTTCATTGTAGTTTGGAAAAATTTTGTACAAAGCTTGATCATAACAAAAGAAGGAAAGGAGATTCCTTAGAAGATTGTACATATTTTTGGGTACATCAAAAATAGATTTATGCTCGCGAGGTAGGATGTTAGATGTTGAGCAAATTAACCCTATATAAAACTAGTATTATGGCTTGTGCATATGCATAAGTATAGGTCTAAATTAATTTTGAAGATGAGATAAATTAGTGAAAAAAATTGCTTTCAAACTATCTCCTTGTCAAAAGAGAATACACGCTTCAACAAATTTGAAGACTAACAATAAAAATTAGTAACCAAATGATTAATAAGGATGTTAAAATTCATAATTGATTACCTCTTTTTCCAAATTGATTTAAAAAAAAAAAAAATTCAGCAATTTTTTTTTTCTCCACAGCTCTTCAAATGGATTTGGTATTAGATGAGGAGAAAAACATTAAACGGTGACTAATATTGGATTAGAAGTAAATAAATGTAAAAGCATTATTCGTTATTTGGAGAAGTTTTGTGGTACTAATGGAGGAGAGACACATGATAAATAAAAACCGAAAAAACATCTTAAAAGAAAACCACTGCATGAAGAAAACGTTTTGTTATTTTGATTTTTTTAAATACGCTTTGAAATCGAAAGACCGAGTGTATTACTAAGACGACTTCATTCCATCGGTTGGCCTTGGAGGATTGATTGGGATTGGATCTTCACGCAAATACGTGTAGTTCGTTGATTTTGTGTCTACCGTTGTTATTTGCATCGAATTATTTATTTGTATGTGCTTAGCCTCATTTTTCGTGAATTAAAATCATTAATTATCTTAGTTTTAAATTTCAGTTTATTACTCAATATATTTTTTGCTTATTTTGTGTGTAATAATCATAAATATATAAAAGATATTTAATCAATCGATTGAGTTTATATGGCTTATGATTAGCGTACATACATATAAATAGTAAGGGAAAAGTAAATTAATTTAATCACATAATAGAACAAGCATTAGGATTCTCATCACTAAACTTAGAACCAGTTTGGTGGCTGAAAATAGAGGCATGAACAGGATGTTGCTGGTAAGACGAATAGTCATTGCTATCGTAACCATGCTTGTAATAATTGTAAGAAGATGCTAGAACCGGCCCGTGGTGGTTGATTGGGCCGTTGCAGCCATGAGGGTTGTAGAAATAACCACCATTGTTGCTGTTGCTTCCGCCGCCGAGGAGAGAGCTGTGGTCAGGGTTATAAGGAAGCTGCCACAGCTCAGCTCGCCGACCGGTTTTTCTAACTTTCTTCAAAACTTTCTTCTGATCCGCGTAGCCAGTCACCGTCACTTTCTGTTGCACCATGTCGATTTCAACCTCATCCACTCCTGTTTTCATAGAAATCATAACATCTTTAATTAATGTTTTAGTTTGTTATTTATTTCTTTGATCTAAATAAAACAAACGAATACTTTTAGTGTTTTCTTTACAAAATTATTGATATATATAGTCAATATAGCTGGAGATCAAAGAGTTTTGACCTCTCATCTTTTGAAGGGTAGTTTTAACTCTACTCTCGCATCCCACACAATCCATGTGAACTCTCATTTCAATAGTCTGAAAGATCGACAAAAAATTGTTAATTTCACATAC